CTGTCTCTTGTCCTGTGGCTTAGAGCTTAATATTCTTTAGTTATTTGAAAATGAGATTCCAATTTTTACAATAGTCATTTTTAGTATTCTACAATGTACCTGCTTCTTTGGTTAGTGTTTTCTCATTTTGTTATATTTAAATATGATTAAATTTCAGAATCGTGAACCTCTGATGCCATCTCCACAGTTTATCAAATCATACTTCAGTTCTTTCACAGATGATATCATTTCTCAGCCCACGCTTAAAGGAGAAAAGTCTGATGAAGATAAAGACAAGGAAGGAGAGGCTTTAGAAGTGAAAGAAAAGTAAGTATGTCAGGCATGGTGTCTGCTTAATGGTTTTTTTGCTACCATGAACTTGGCAGAGCCCACGTCAATGAATCATCTCAAATAAACAGGTATCTTTACACAAATATAGGTAGGTATAAATATAAAAATTATAAAATATTGTTATAATAAAAATACTTCTTTTTATAGCATATATCCGTTACATTTCTGGTTACTCAGGTTTTATTACCAGGAACCTACCCTGCTTTTACAAACTTCTTTGTGATTCTCTAGCCAAGAGATGTGGAGTATAGTCATTGCTCTCACCTCTAGCAGATCTGTTGCTGACCACTATAATATTTTGATGGAATTGCCCCTTGCTACACAAGCTTAATATTCTCTAGATCTGCGGTCCCCAAGCCCCAGGCCACGACCGCGCTACCCATCTGTTGTGGCCTGTTAGGAACCAAGCCACACAGTAGGAGGTGAGCAGCTTGCTATGGAGAGAAGCTGTATTTATAGCCACTCCCCATCCCTTGCATCACTGCATAAGCTCTGCCCCCTGTTAGATCAGCAGTGGCATTAGATCCTCATAGGAATGCATGCGAAGGATCGAGGTTGCATGCTCCTTATGAGAATCTAATGCCCAATGATCTGAGGTGGAGCTGAGGTGGTGATGCTAGTGCTGGGGAGCGGCTGCAAACACAGGTTATCATTAGCAGAGAGATTTGACTGCACAATATATGTAATGTGCTTTAACCATCCTGAAACCACCCCCACCCCCTAGTCCATGGAAAAATTGTCTTCCATGAAAGTGGTCTCTGGTGCCAAAAAGGTTGTGGACTGCTGCACTAGATGACTTTTATTGAGTTAAATGGTTGACTGTATTTGAACAGAGGCACTAACTTGAAAATTATTGTGTAGTTCAACATGCAAATGTTTTAGTGCAGGGAAATTTTTAATTATAAACTGTGAGGTGCTTAGGCATGCCCAAAAAGTGAACTTCTTCAAGGATTTTTCTGTTTGCCTAGGAAAATGCCATTCTTTGGGCTTCTTGTGTTCGATCCTGTAGAGAGCCGACACCATAGTATAGGATACTGTCTTTACAGATGGAGATCTAGTGATATAATGTCATATATAAGCCATCTAGCCTGCTTATCCATTCATATTTATCAATACTTGTTTTACTGTTAAGACTAGCTCTCTTCTGTAAGAAAAGGTACAATGTTACTGCCAAAATGACATTTTTTAAATGAATGTGGAAGAAAAGGAAATTTTTTTCCAGTAGCAAAGCGTAACTGGGTTTTGCATCTGTAGCATATTGGAAGATTTGAGGGAACAGATTGCTTTTGATCTTTATCTCCCAATTTTTCTACCAGTGTTGGCCACGTTTTAAGAGAAGGTACTGTGCACAATTGTACCAAGATGTACAAATTTTAGTTGATACATGCTCTTTTGGAAAATTGTAGTTGGGAAGTAAATGTTCAAGATGTCATATATCTCTTGTGACAGTGATGTAAATAATTTCCTCTTCTGGCTGGGAAAAAGTCCTTGTCCCAGAAAAACTGCAGTGAACTTAATACCATTATTCTAAAAACTGTATTGAGAAATGGCAGGACATAGCTAGCTCTCATCAGAACACTGAAACTGGACCCAGGTTTTTAAATTCTGTTTTACTCTAAGCCTTAGCTTTTTCGTCTTTTGAATGGAGCTAATAATACCTCATGAAGGATTATTGTGAAGTTTAGAAATCATGTTTATAAATATGTAGTACTTACGTTCCCAACAAGTGGGAACTTATAATTTCTAATCTGATTTAATAATTGTTTATATTTTCTTAGCCTGGTGACCAAAGGAACAAAACTAGAGTGTAGGGAACATTAGGATGTAGTTATAGAAAAGGTTAGCACGGAGTTTATAAGATTTTGACTGACATAACTTTTAAGTCACTGCCAGTTTCTCTATATAGAATATAACAACTGAAATGAGAAAATGACTTTAATTTACAATGCCTTATGTTTAGAAGATGCCTCAAAGTCCTATTTGATGGACTTTGAATCCTCCTTTAAATTTACCTGTTTGATAAGTCCACTTATTCTAATTCTGTTCTTTTAGATGAAACAATAAATTTTCTGCATGAGAGACTTTCGGTTATTTGTCTGTGTCTAGTCTTACTTCCTCACAGAACAGCCAGAGTGATCTTTCACAAGGGTAGCTCTGATCACACCTCTTGCCTTGGCTTCTGTAACTCTAAACTCATTTCACTATTTCCTATTTCCTAGTTATTAAATAGCTGTCGAGTGCCATCGATGTGCCAGAGATACGAAGGTGACTAAGACAGGATCCTTACTCATATTGCAGATCAGTCTGTCTCTTTCCTTAGCTCATCTTTTCACTATCTAAATGTCTAAGCCAGGGCATTATTTCCAGGTTTCTGCCATTGCCTTTGCAGTTTTCTTCTTTAAAACTCTTTGTCTAAGACATCAAGAAAATCTTAATCTGCATCAAAAGTCCTGATCTCTTTAACCTCCACCCCCAACTCCAGTCCCTTACTGGCTGATTAACTTGTTATGGACGAAGAGACTTAGGCTTAACTCAGGTGTGCTAAATGTGCAAGTTTCAGCATTTGATCCTTTCTTAGTAAATAATTTCCTATGTTTGTTTTTATTTTCAGTTCTGGATATTTAAAGGCCAAACAGTATATGGAAGAAGAAAACTATGATAAAATCATAAGTGAATGCTCAAAAGAAATCGATGCTCAAGGCAAATACATGGCAGAAGCATTATTACTGCGAGCCACCTTCTACCTGCTCATTGGCAATGCCACTGCGGCCAAACCAGACTTAGATAAGGTCATCAGTTTGAAAGAAGCTAACGTGAAGGTACATTTTAAAATGTGTGTGACTGTGTGTGCATGTGAAGAAATTAGTAACAAGTGATACTTTTAGGTCTGTTTTGCCAGATTTTTTAGCATTTCAACTGCCATTTTCCAAAAGGCTTTTGGGGGGTGGGCAGCAGTGGGGAGGAACTATACCTAATGATGATTTAGTTGGTGCATGAATCTGAAACATAAATATCAATGATATTTAGCTGGGAAAGGAAATGTTTTTTCCTGTAGCATCTGGTAGTTTCGCTTCCCCTTACAGCCACTGCCTACCATGTTGGACTACATAGGGGCAAGGTGTCAGAGGTGATATAGCAGTGCTGTAGATAATGCTATTAAGTACATGTAATATGTAGTACCAGGACATAAAGTATGTTTAATAAAAATATATTAATAATAAACACATATAGTAATACAGTCAGAAAGATTTTATGTGAAAAAAACAGGTTCTAAAAATATGGTTTATAAAATATACTAAATGTTTCTGCAGTTATGTGGTTGGAACAGCTTTTCATTTTCCAGGTATTCTTAATTTGTATGTAATAATTTTCATAATTAAGATTTTAGGGGCATCTAATGAATTATGAGAACCTTCTACTCATTGTAACAAGACAGAACTTAGCCACCAATTAATTGTATTCCTCATCAGTTTATCTCTGGCCTAGTCCCTCATTGAATTACATGAACTGTTTAGCCTCTTTCACCTCCAAATGAATCATTTCTGTATTTTTTTTTTTT